TCTACCATTTGCAAGTTTTCTGAAAAGTGCCAGGGCTTTATGAACATATTGTGAATCCTTAATATTTCTCAGTGAAGTATTTTCACCAGGAAAGATTACTTGAGTGACAATTTCTGCTGTAAACGATATTACTCACTGTTCTCTGTTGATTTTGTTTATCGTATTTTATTCAACTACACAGAGAAAAACCAAGTTAAACTCTGCCACTTCTCCTCACACTTCTATACACTTACAGAGCATGTTTCTCATCAGCAGACATAAGTGTAGCACTACTGAGCCCTAAATAAGTAGAAAATAATGCATTTAATGCTTGGTTTGATTCAGAGTGCTAAAGACAAAACCTGTTCCATTTGTTTCTATGTGACATATTGAGGACTGATAGGCAAGTTTTATTATTATTAACTACACTTTGTTGATACAAGCTGTTGATTTACCAGTGATTATGCTACAGTTAAAGATCCCTTCAGGGAGTAGCAGGGAGGGAAGTGTGCAGTTTAAGCAGCTGTGCAGTTTAAGAGCTTCATCTCTGTAGCAGGGATGTTGCTGCTTCTTAGATGGAGGGAAGAAAAACTGGAGTAAAACCATCCTTATCAGAAATGCACTGGATAGATGGCTGCAGTTTATCTGCTACAGGACACTATGGAAATGTTTTGTCTCTATTTCAGGTTTGAAAAAATGCTTACTCCAAAACCCTAACAATATCAGCAGAAAGAAATTTATTTCAGTAAGGTTCAGATCATTATTTAAGAGCTGATACTGCCTCAGTTTTAGGATTAAAGTATACTTTAATCTTGGTTTCAAGACTTATGTCTCAGTGGGACTGAGAAGTTCATCAAGTTTTGCCCTAGGGACTGGGTAGCACTATGCAAAGTGACCCTGTGAATATAGGGGGTCTTATTTAGAAATGTGGAGCCAAATTTCAGAATCAAATTAAGTTATGTGCTCTGTAGCATTTTTGTGTTTTGCAGTGGGGTACCAGTAGATCTGTAATTGTAGACCTAGGTGGAACTGGGCAGTGTGGAACTCCACAGGCAATCCTTCCTAATTCAGGTTTATGACTACTGGGAAACTCACACACTCTCTCTCTGCACTTAATCCACACTTCCATTTTTGTCTTTAGGAAAAAAATATTTTGATAAAGCATATTTTGATCTCAAATTTTTTTTTTCTTTCTTAGGTGAAATAACTTACGTCTTCCTAACAGTTTTGCAATGGGTGCACTTATTTATTCTTTCACAATATGCTAAAATACAGTACAAACTCCTGAAGTATTTTAAATACTTAAATAACTAAATTACTATTAACCTGACATACCAGCACACAAACTTCACAGAGCTGCTTAAAAACCTTTTTAGAAGACATCTTCCATCAAAATAAACAATTGAAGACAAAATATTTTATGAAATTCTAACATTTTCTATTACACTTACCAGATGAGAGTCCAGAAAGACACCTTAGATCCACAGAAAAGGGAAAAGTAAAGGAAAAGAAAAAAGAGGAAAGGAAAATGAAAAGGAAAGGGAAAGAGGAAGAGAAAGGGAGAAGGGAAGGGGGAAAAGGATGCCCCAAACAAACAAGGACAATTGTTTGGGATGACAGAAATGCACACTTAAATGCTCTTTTTTGATGTTTCAGAAAAAAACTTGACCCAGAGTATTTTCATGCCAATTAACTACATCTATCTCATTCTCCTTCAGATTTTACAAAAATGTCAGAGAGGCTTGTTGTCATCTCAGTGCAAAAAGGTTGGAAATCTTTTTATCTCAAATAGGTTGGAAAAATAATTTCCTACTCAGTTTAAATGAGAACTAAGAATCCAGGTAAAATCACAGTGAGCAGGGGGTAAGCACTGTACTGTGATTTATGAAATGCCAGCCAAATAGCCTGCTTTTAATACACACCCCAGAATAGCATTCCTTGCTAAGAAATCCCAATCAGTATTGTGAAGTTCAAAAATTTTTTCTTAAAGGCTTATGTTTTTAAAATGACCCTTCCACCTACTCTATTAATTACCAACTCCAGTATAAAACTGACTTTTCTATGGCTTCACCATGAAAGCTGCAGATTTGGAGCGAGCTTTATTTCAGATCCATGTATAAATTGAACAGCATGCTCTCCAAGTGCACATAATGTAAAAGAAGTGATCTATAAAGTGTATAATAATGAGAGTTTACAATACATATAAGACAATCATTTAAAGACAGACATGAAACAGAGATTTTGTTTAAAAGAGATGCTAAAGATTTAAGGAAGAGAATCCATTTTAAAACTGTGCTTCTTGACTGCACAAGAATTTGAATGCCACATGCCAAAGTTTTCAATATTAAGAGGTGCTTTTGGATACCCCATGCTAAGGTGCTGATTTTCAGTAATTCCTTAATAAGGTGCTTCAATTTTTGGCAAGAAAAAGAGGTAGATAAAATCACAAAATATCTGGGCCATAACTTCCTTATGGATATTGAAGATCAGCCGAAGATGTTTTTCAGAAAAGCATTAACCACCACCAAAGGTCCCATGCAACTAAAACTCATTTGGTGAAAAGCTTCACAGGTTCCAAAAGGAATTTCTGAAACATGGTTTGGAAACAAAGAGAGGAGGAAAAATCTCTGAGAAGTTGAGACATTTGGTTCTGTGAAGCAGGAAATGAGCTTGTTCTGCATCACTTTTTGCTCCACTCCACTCACTAGCTCTCCTGTGAAGGATTAGTGCCTTGGAGAAACAACCTCAGCAGAACCAACAGAAAATTCTAAGTTTGGAGGAAACATCAACACATGGTAGAGCTGATGAGAGATAAGAAAGGAAAAGAATTGACCCCTTATTATAATGGGGCCCAAAAGCTGACACATCCCAAAATCGATCTCTCTTCCTTCACTCCCCTGAAATTAAAATTATATAGGGTAATGCTGTCTTTTTTAAACAATTCTTAACCAGTAACTTCCCAGTTAATACTAAATTTTGTCTTTTAGTTTATTGCAATTCCAAGACAGTAACTTACTAGCTATACTATGTGGCATGCCTCTTTCCCACAGGAACCTTGCAGCCTCAGGATGCAGCACAAGAACACTTGAGAAAAAACAGCTTTATACTTCATCAAACCATGCTTAGAGGGGTACATTCCTCTCACTGCCAGGCTTTGTCCCACAGCCAACATATCCTGATGTCTCCATAGACTGTGCTCCTCATGTTTCTGCCCTCACCTCATGGAAGTACGAACGCAAGGGAGCAAATATCTGTCAGCACAAACCTGCACTGTGAAGTAGTTTTAGCACCACTGGCAGGATGACAGTGAAGTTGCATGAGCAGAAATAAATCAGAATACAATCTTAAGATGAAAAACTATCTGGATTCAGGCCTGGCAAGATCCACACTGTATTTTATTTACAAGCGAAGAGGAGATACAAAATAATGCAAATTAACATTGTGATTATTTCTTGAACTGCACTCTCACCTCTGTAGAACTAAATGCAAGTTCCTTACATTTCTTGCCTCACTTTCTGATCTGACCTTTAAAATGATGCACAGAGAAGGGAAGGTGGTGCCTTTAAACTGCATCAAGAGCTTTATGGAGACAAGCCAAGCAGCTACTTAGGCAACCATTAGGTCGGGAAACAATCACTTCCATCATTCCCAACACGTGTGTCAACATAATTCCATGCTCTCTTTGTCATGCAAAAAGTCTTGGCAAAGTAACCGGATACACCCAGAAAGCAGGAGCGAACTAAGCTCATTATGTTAACCGGAGATCCCACAGCAACCTCCAGTGCCATAGAAGGAGACTTCCCATGTTTTGCAGTGCAGGAAAGGAAACTCACTGCACTGAGGAGGGCCAAGCCTGGCTTCAGAAGCGCATGAGGGAGATTCACAATTGGGTTTTGTGGAAGGGGATCTCTGACAAGCACCAGAGGATGTGTCAGGCAGTGTGATAACAGGCTTTGCAGAAGGTATGACACCTCTCATAACTACGGAGACTTCCCTCTCCTGTGTCATTGGAAACCTTCCAGCCATGCTAATATGGCTCTGCAAAAGGGAAGGCACTGCCAAATGGGAGTAGCAGCTTCTCTAACTCTTTATTGTTGTCATTGGTAACTTGGGACTTTGTTTTCCTTTTAAAGGAAGATTCAATGCATTTTACAACCATTAAACATCTTTTCTTCTCTCCAGCTATACTTGTAACTCTTCCTAACAGCAGAAGGCTTGTGCCCTTCAGAATGGCTGGCAGTGCTACTCTAATGGCTTCTTTGTGTGGTCAGGTACAGGAGCAAGGCCTCTTTGTCTGAAAAAATGCTGAATACTTCTTTGGTGATCTAGCAACTATAGAAGACGGTAAGTATCCCAGAGCATAAGTGTTAATTTATTTCAAGATAAACAGCTGATGTTTTCATTAACAATTTTTGCTGCATCCTTCAATTCCAGATTCAGTACAGTGAGAGCAGTCATAATTGTGCTGGATTATTTTCAAGCCCTTTCAAACTTCAGCTGCTTTACCTTAGTAAAGACAATGGTAACACACATTTTCGATCCCTTTTGCCTCTTGAATGCTTGCAAGTCCGATCATGGTTTTAGTAATGCATTCAGCAAAACACAGCTCCACAACAATCCATGCTCACAAAAGCCTACAAGGGCTAAAATGAGGAAGGATGAGAATAGTAAAACCTTCTCCAGCAGGACATCTCTAAAGAAAGCCAAGGATTTCTATTGATTGTTGTGTTTACGCCTGTATCAGTTACACTTTGTGCTTTCTTCCTTAAGATGCAATTACCACCCAAACACTTGAGAATCAAAACCAGAGAGCACCATCCAAGTGAGCAAGCATAGCAGAACCCTTCCCCCAGCATTATCACTGGAGTGGGAATAAGCATTTGGTTCTGATTTTGTCTTCTCCCTCAGCTCCACCACTTTGGGCAAATTTACACTGTATAGGATTCTGAAAATGTACACCAAATATTACAGAACTTTCATTAACAAGTCAAATAAAATAAGAGAGTAAAAAGTGAACATACCTGAATAAGAGAAACGTTGTGTAGACTAAGTCTGAAGAGGTAGTTCCTGCATGAACAAGCAGAAAAATTACAAACTATTAGGCTTCCAAGGAAGGAAGGGAAAAGTTATTAAAGCAAGTAATAGTTTTTGGTCATTCACATCTACAAACAAAAGGTTTTCCTGGACTCCTCTCCACAGAATACAAAAGCAGTTATATGTCTGTTCACTGACTTGTTCATCAGTATCGTAGTGAACCTGGTAGCTAAGCTTTGAGCAGGTCCTGGTATTAAATACTCCAGAATCCATAATGAAGAACCACAATGAAATCCCCACCACAAAGGGCCATTTGCAACCTCTCAGCAGGCATTAGTTGAAGTCCGTATGGGCTGCAGTCATGTTTTTCACTGAATTCTGAGAAAACTGGGATTGGACAGAAGCCAGCTGGAGCAGAGCTGACTTCCTAGTATGCTCCCCAGACCTATTCTTCTGGGAATTCCCATTCAGGACTTCATGGAAGAGAAGAGAGCAGATACTTCTCAGTGGAATCTCTCTGCACAGAAAATCAGCAGGGAAATCAAGGCAGTGACTGCAGATATTCCCAACCCTCCTGTCATTGTCTCTTCACAGACAAAGCAAGGGAATTCCTGACAGAAGTCACTGTAGCATGAGATACCACATATCAGCTGAGCTCCTGTCACCCTTCTGAATGTTCATATCCCATCACAAATAGGAGGCAACACATATTTGCATAAACATCTATAGATAAGGTTTAGTTAACAGGATTTATCTTGCATTTTTGCTTGCTAAGACAATGCAGTCCAGGAATCAGCTGAGATATTAAGCCATACAGACTGGATTGTGTGCTTGACGCTTTTGGCCACATCTAATTTTGTTTTTTTGCATCCCATCTGTCAGAAGGTCTAAAGAGCTGTGATCCTTTTCCAACATCACTGACACCACAGTCTCCCAGAGAATACACATTTATATCATGCAAGGTGAATTGAACTATACTTCTGGAAGTGGCTCTGTTTAAGTGGTAGAAAGTGCAGTTTTGATGATATGAGTTCATCTGCTCTTGATGAAGATGAATGCTGGTATACAGACATTCCCCCATTAAAGTGAAAATGCAAGTTCCAGTCCTAGGTCAGTTACCCCACAGGAAAGAGTCCATAGTGATGAAAAGGTTCTAAGGACTCTTCTGAGGAGCCTTCTTTAGGGTCAGTACAGCAGCACACCCTGATCAGGCAAAGGAAGTAATTCAAATTTTGATAGTGAGAGATTCATATTGGGTCACAATGACCGTGACAAGGCCTGAGCAATTTTTCCTTCTGTTATGTATCACTTGTGTATCATCTAAGTCATAAGAACAGAGTTGCCTGTGTACTTTGTCCCAGTTCTATAAATAAATCAAAAGCTCTCAAATGCTGCTGACTGTTAATAAAGAAGGATGGAGACAAGGATGATGGGGAACTTGGGAAGTCAAACTCCTCATAACAAATCTTCAGCTGATATAGCTGTGACTTCCTCTTGACTTGCACCATTGTATTCTGTACTGGCAGTGGTTACCCAGAGAAGAATGAGATCCATAGCAATATCTGAAGAAGATATATCAGTGATTATTGTACCTCCTATAAGTACACAGAGAAGTATACAGACACACACACACAGAGGAGATCTCCATCCTCTCTCCTAGTCCTGAAGTCACTGAAGATCCAGAAGTTTTTTTGTACAGTCTGAAACCCTCTTCTGTCTCAAAGGGCTGCATACTTAGCCCCCCAAAAATTGTTAACTCTTTAGCATCAGCATCAGACTTAAATAAAGGTGCATGCAGCAGGCCAGAAGCACTAAGCTACACACAGCTAAAATTTCACAATGAAGCTAAATTCTCATCCAGTGATGGATCTGACTGCTCCCTTAGAACACCACATAGATACTCACACCAAAATATTAATGCAACTCCAGGACATGAGATATCATGGAATAAGCCTTCTGCTGGGGAAGGCCTGCAATCTTACAATACCCTCAGGAAAAAAAAGTTCTCGTAACGAGGGACTTGAAGTTTCTCTCCTGTTGTTAAGCATGCTATTTAAATGCATTGATTTTGGAAGTCTTATAATGCAGATTTCAGCTCCTTGTTCTAGGTTTGCAAAAAAGCTGGACAGTTTGACTAGGTAATAAGTTTTAATATTAGGGTTTGTTTTTTTGGTTTTTTTTTTTTTTCCTGATAGCACTGCAGAGCAAATTCAACCAAAAATATCTTTAATGAAAGAGACATATCCAAAGGACACAATTTTCATTGCACTCAGCCAAAACAGATGCAGACAGGGATAGTGTCCATTTCAATAAAGCCAGTCTGTTCTCTCAGTGACTGCTACATAGGACAAAGCCACTCGGGTGGCTGAGACCTAAACCAGGCAGGAGCATAGTGCTAATGTGAATAGCACAACAATCTTCCAAAACTAACTAACCTTAGCTCTCTAAGTCTGACCTTGGTGCTTTCTTACATAAAAGAGGGTTTCCCTATGTTTTTATCAGCTTGTCTTACCTGGTGTCTGTACAGGCACTGACAATTTCTTTTTGTTTATTTGTTTGATCCTTCTCACATCTTTCCAACAGCAATACAAACACTTATAAGCAAACCAGGCTGTCAGAGACACTTCCTAACTCCAGCTGACCTGCCCAGCTAGAACTGATTAATCCTTAATTAAAAACATGCTCATTTAACCATACTTGTTCTGTAAATCTGTACAAGGAGTAAAACGCCAAAGGGAAACATCTGCTGAATCAGACAGTGCCATTCTTATGAATTACATTTTAACTGCAGTTTCAGTCAAAGAATGAGCAAGGTCTCTGAATGACAGGCATGGTTTATTGTAGCTAGAATTGCCCCATTTTTGTCCTTTTTTCTGCTTGTGTTTGAAGTTATGTCTGTTTAATATCTTGCTGAACCATAATTTAGAGCAGCTAAAGGAGGATGATTAAGAAGTATATAAGAACACTGAGATCTCCACACGAATGTACGAGGTACCTTCTTGGTCTTTTTTTCTGTCTTGTTTTCTGTCTTTTTCTTTCCCTCCCATCTTCTCTTGTAAGTGAATTCTGGTCAATTCCTTTCTCTCCTAAATTAAACCAGACTAGGCCAGAAGAGCAATTGCCTGGTGCATCCAGGATATTCTAATACCTAGAATACCTACCCTTCTTCTGTATGAAAGGCTGGTGCACAAATCTGGAGGCATAGGGCAACCTTCTTAATTGCTGTCCTAAAAGCTCATGCAACTTCACAGTATTAAACCCAAGCTTTGTTTTACCCCAGATTTGGCTGCATTTCAGACATCTCCAGAGCAGGTGCTACACTCCTCTGAGTACTCTGGGGCAAATGACATTATGCCTCACACTACTAATTATTATTACAACTAACCTTTTTTTTTTTCATAAACATCAGTGCCTTTCTGAAAATGCCCATGTGAAACAGTAATGCCCTGAAATCTCAGGCAAGGCTGTGGTTTTGTTGCATGAAGACACAGAGTGGGTTGATGATGGTTCCTCTGGAGACTGATTCCCAGGCAATGCCTTTTCAAACAACCTGAGGGCAGATCCTCTCTCTATCACCTCTGATTGCAGTGGGATATTATTATTCCCCAGCTCAGATATACAAAGTTAGCTGCTGTCCAGCTCTATAAAATCTAGGTTTAAAGAATTTGGCATCTGAATATATACTGAAGAGAGAAAAAGATGCATCATTCTCAGTTAAATTTAAAGCACAGATTGAGCAATTTAGCCAACATCACAGAACATTTCTGCAGCACAGCCGGGAGATCATCTCCTGGACCATTAGCTTATGCCCTAGTTAGGAGAATAACTTGCACCCAAAGTTGGGGCACAGCATGTAAATTTGTGCTGGTGTCATTTACACTCATGAGTAGATGCTGAATTACTTTCTTAACTGGGAACTCTATCCTGTGTGCATATAAACAGAGACAAGCTGCAGCAGAAATCCTTTAAATGAAGGTATTTGATAATTGGCTTCATAATTTGTATTTGGCTGCTTGTAAAATGATTAAGTGCTCACTGTGCCTGGTACCACAAAACACGCATAACAGAGAGCAAGAGGACAGCCGAGATGTGATTCAGGAACGGGTATGGAAGAATATACCCACCTAAATGTGTTTGCTTTGACATGCCCAAGTCAAATGTGCTATAAAGTATTTCATGTAGCCACTAGCACGTTGGGTAAACTTTGTAACATGGTTCCCTTGCACTTGTTCACACATTTCCTGGCCTTGAAACAATTTATTTCCAAGGCAGAGCACTCCGGCAATGACACCACTGAGCAACAGAGATACCAGACAAATTCAAGCCGTTCTATTGGGAAGCCACATAAGAGCAGTGCCTGAACAGTAACAGAGACCTTTCGTCTTAGGAGCTCTGAAACCATAAGCATTGCAACATGCTTCAGTCACTCATTCAGGCCTCCTTCTCAGTGCCTCTTTTCAGGCACCACATCTGTCAGCACTGGCTGATTAAAAGGTGCTTCCTCCTAATTAAGAGAGAGCAGCTATTCAGTTCTGCTGTGGTAGATCAGGAGGAACATCGCTGCAGTTGATGGACTGATCATGTACAAATAAAAGGCCATTATATATATATATATAATATAATAAAATAAAAAGGCTATCCTAGCTTCAGATTTCTTTTGCTATTTAAATGAGTGAGGCTTGTTCACATTTCCTATCTCCTCACACATCAAGTAGGTAAGAAAACCTCTCTATATTTCAGAATAAACCCTGCTATCAAATTTAGAGCCATGAGAGCCCACATGCTGACCACTAACAGAACCTCTCAAGACTTGGACGTACACACAGAAACCAACAATAAAAAAAAAAAAAAAGCCTTAACTCAGCTGACCTCTATCATTACATGCTACACCTGCTCATTTTGCTGCTACTTCCTTGTACCTTATTATAGGTGTGAGAGGTTCCCCCCTCCCTCCTTATAGGGCAAGCCGTCTTAAGCTCTCTCTCTTTCTAGGCAATTACTCTATAACTAGAAACAAAGCCAACAGAAGCTGA